TCACAAAGTATATATTTTCTGAAAGCTTAGTAACTGTAGTTTATGCCTATAAGTGTTTGAAATGCATTTAAAATTACATTTTAGAGTTATTAGCTCCATTATCTGAAACTTCATGCCTGTATAAAACGAACTCCAAGTGTGAAAGAATTATCGGAAAAAATTCAATTTAAGCACTATTCCTTTGTTCACATATTTTTCTCAAAAATTGTGTCTGCGATTTTTTATACGTGCTCTCGTTTTGATTTAATGTTGTAATAAAGTTTAGGAACGCAAAATTATRTCAAGTTCTTYAAAGAACCTTGAATAACTTTTGAAAAAAGACGACTTATCAAAATCCCAGACACAATTTTGTTGCTTAACTATCTGTAAACAATGCTACGAAATTTGATTAAAATTGGTTGACGGGTATCTGACTTGGAGTTTAAAACGTATGCCCTACTTACCATAAGTTTCGTTTCGAGAAATGAGTCAAAAAGAGTTTTTAGTCCATAATGGGATTATACTGGGTAATACCAGATAATAAGACCATATCGGAAACTACGTCATTTTAGCATAAAAGATGCGATGACAGCTATAGAACCGATTGAAGTAGTAGTAGGGTCAGTTTTCTTAATTCAACAACATCAACTTGTAACTCGTAAGATTTTACTAAATATACAGTTTTTTTGTAGCAAATTTGGGTTAGGCCGAAGCTAATGTTCGATAATGTCAAGAAATGCCAAAGGCCAAGAAGATTAGCGATACCAAAGCGAAGCAAGGATATGCTAATTGTAAATATAATGTATAGTTGTTTCCTTTTCTCGCAAATTTTGACCGTTTCAAATCAAAACGTGTAAAATCATAAACTAAACTAGTACAAAAGAAATAAATAGAGTGATCCCGAGAAAAGAGAGGGAGAAAGAAGCAGAAAACCGAGAATCAACACGAGGGTGATATATACAACTCTGGATCCAAAGGACGGACATACTTTAACTGCCGGTGAGCATATTTATCGAATATATTACTTATTGGTCCTTCACATTGGCAATCCAAAGACATATTCTTTTGTATCTTACGGCATGCTTCAATCGACTCACTCTCTACACGGTCGTATATAAAACTCGTTTGAGCTGTCATCAACGCCATTAATCCAGTTAAGAATAAAAAATAAAACTTCGTATCTTTTCAAAACTTAACTAAATACCTAGATCTACAAACGACCTTTCCAATGATATAAAATCAAAAAATCATTAAAATGTGACGGTTTTGAGTACGCTGATACCTTAATGAAGCCTTGTCATTGTGGCGTTGTCATTGTGTCTCAATATATATATTTTTTCTTAACAGTTTCCCAAATCCTTAAAAAACAGTTTCTGTAAATTGTGCATATAATTTTAAGCTCTTTTGAGCGTTTTGGCTACATTTTAGAGCCATTTAAAAAGAGAAAACTGTTTGCCGCCGTCTGTCCGCCATTTTGTTCCAACTCACTAACGAGTGGAGAACCGAGTGGAAATACGAGCTTATCCCGCGAAAAACCGAATGGAATACGAGCTATTCCCGAATTACACTCACTCAAGGCGATGACATTATGGCTAGCGCCTCTTAGGCACTAGCCACAAAAAACGACAACCCCCCAACATTTGTAAGGCAGCTAGATATCAAGGCAAACGGTAAAATAAGCCGTAATTTATGACGGCAGGCATATCACAACATAAAGTGCTTTTTACTTGTTTTTCAGCATATATTTCGCACTTACAAACTTTGTAGATATCGTTACATTAGCTAGTTAGATGCTTAGCATAGGTTGCCTGTGGTACAAGGATTTTACGTTTCTCACCCAATGAGTGCACATTAAACATGTTGGGAAAATTCGTCGTGAATTACCAGCTATCGTGAGATGATGGCACTTGCCGATAGAATTTTTTCTTTCCCGTGCAATTCATAATTTGAGATCCATCTTGGTACATGAGCAATCTGTCAAAGTTGAGCATAATATTTTAAGTATATATAATCTATACGTTTAGTTTGCCTAATGATATCAGATATGATGTTTAAAATCAGTCAGTTAAAATTAGTCAGAATGCATTATTGCTGCAAGGGGAGCAAACGAGCAAAGCTGAAATGAACCAACTTCACTGATACATGAATTCACTCAGTGAACTCAATCACAAGATCATTGCCTCCCTCAGTCGAGAAATGAGAACACTGCATGCACAAAGAGGAAGGAACATTTCCCTTACCTTCACAAAAAACGCTGTTTCCCTTTTAAAATGCTTTATCATACGCTTCAATGAAAATCTCAGCTTGAACAATCGTAGTTCCCGCCAACTGAGGTCAAAAGAACACGGTGACTTCCCGCCACCGCTGCTAAGTTGATAAATTACATGTCACGCTTCAAAGTGGTCACGCCATCCAATCTAAGCGATCCCGATCAAAAATTAAAAGGAAAAGCGCTTGGCATTTCTCAGCGAAGGTAGAGTGTTTTGATGTCTGGAATCGTAGTTTTTTCAGTGCATTTTCACAAGAAATTTAGAGTGCCTGGCATATAGTCTTTTGGAGGTTGCGACCGGCAGTCACGCGTTCGAAGTGCTTTTGATGTCACTGCCAAGGCCGACAAGTTTTCTCGATTTGAACCCACCAATCAAGCTCATCACAAGCGCTTGACATTTCTCAAGTAAGGGAGAGTGTTTTCATGCAGGGAATCGTAGTTGTTTTACTTCATTTCTACAAAAAATGTAGAGTGCCGGGCATATAGTCTTTTGGAGGTTGTGACCGGCAGTCGAGCGTGAAAATTTGTGCCTCAAATGAGTGCTTCGTATTCTGTGCCGAGGTCAAAGAATTTGCTGAAATTCAAATCCACTGAGCTCACGGCAAGCGCTTGACAATTCTTAATAAATGTAAAAGGGTTTGGTACACTCAATCTTAGTTGTCTTATTGATTTTTGTGAGAAAAAAACAAGACTGCCGGGCATTTAGTCTTTTGAGGGCAGTGACCGGCTGCCGGGCACCTAGACACTGTGTTCAATATTGTCATTTTCAATATTACAAGCCACGGCTTTGGGTTTTCAACTATGCTTTGCTTTATGAATTTCAAGATTCTAGTTACAGGAGAAAAAGGAAATACTATCTTTGAGTAAACTCTTACGTGTATTTCGTGTATCGTTGTCCTAACTTCGTCTCAAGGGAGACTGGCAAATTAGACCTTATAAAGAATACACTGGAGAGTTTTGTGTTGTGCTCTTTTACTCCTGACTAACAGAACGAATACACCCTTGCGGGATCGTATTACAAAGTCACACAATTACATAATGATTAACTTGGATATCGTCACATCTCCCCTTCCATAATTAGGTAAAAACAAAAAAATGGACAATAAATTAAATGTCACTGTCCTGTTAAACGCTATTAAAATCAAATGATAAATCAATGTCTCATGTCCGGTATATGACTAATTTAGCAGTTCACTGGAAACGAACTGGTGGCTTCACTACTCGTCCACTTCTGGTAACTACTGATTCTCCAGGTGGCTTCACAGTCACATTGTCAGGCTTTGTTAGAGAGCTTTCTTGCGTCATCATTTTGGGTGTCTGTGACTCTGTGCTGTTCGTCGGTTGTAGCTCAGGCGGAGGTAGGTGTGGTTGTCCAAACTCTGGTTTTATTGGTTCTTTGGTTTGTCGGAGGTGTCTTCTGTTCCTACGGAACACTCTCCCATCCTCATTAGAGGACTCGTGCACATATGCAAATTATTGACTGGTTAGTATTTATACAGATAGATTTCTACAATCTGTCTCTCGCTTGCTGGACAGCAAGAAGTGTTGGATTTGGGAAGCAAACTTAACCACTCAGGCCGTCTTCTCAATTAAATCTTACTTCTCGTCAGGTGTTACAGAATAGCTGAATTGTAAAATATGGAATTATCAATTATTATTTGCTGTATTTGTGATTAAGACTTTATTGCAAGATAATTTGTTATACATAACTGANACCTTATAAAGAATACACTGGAGAGTTTTGTGTTGTGCTCTTTTACTCCTGACTAACAGAACGAATACACCCTTGCGGGATCGTATTACAAAGTCACACAATTACATAATGATTAACTTGGATATCGTCACATCTCCCCTTCCATAATTAGGTAAAAACAAAAAAATGGACAATAAATTAAATGTCACTGTCCTGTTAAACGCTATTAAAATCAAATGATAAATCAATGTCTCATGTCCGGTATATGACTAATTTAGCAGTTCACTGGAAACGAACTGGTGGCTTCACTACTCGTCCACTTCTGGTAACTACTGATTCTCCAGGTGGCTTCACAGTCACATTGTCAGGCTTTGTTAGAGAGCTTTCTTGCGTCATCATTTTGGGTGTCTGTGACTCTGTGCTGTTCGTCGGTTGTAGCTCAGGCGGAGGTAGGTGTGGTTGTCCAAACTCTGGTTTTATTGGTTCTTTGGTTTGTCGGAGGTGTCTTCTGTTCCTACGGAACACTCTCCCATCCTCATTAGAGGACTCGTGCACATATGCAAATTATTGACTGGTTAGTATTTATACAGATAGATTTCTACAATCTGTCTCTCGCTTGCTGGACAGCAAGAAGTGTTGGATTTGGGAAGCAAACTTAACCACTCAGGCCGTCTTCTCAATTAAATCTTACTTCTCGTCAGGTGTTACAGAATAGCTGAATTGTAAAATATGGAATTATCAATTATTATATTGCTGTATTTGTGATTAAGACTTTATTGCAAGATAATTTGTTATACATAACTGAGTTAAGCTCTAGCCCTCGGAGCTCATACGCCGCATCGGTCGAGGACTACGTTTCCAGTTATTTTTCCCAAAGTGGTTTTTTATCTGGTTTTTCGTAGCGGGCAGCGTATCGTACATCTTGTAACTAATTTCTTCCTAACATAATTTGATTGATTGTAAACAGCATATTATTGTGTAATTGAAGTAAATAAAGTCGCTGGTTGTGCTGTCCACCAGGCACCAGGCATTGTCACACTCCAATATTGTATATATTGATTATTGCGCTTTGGCAGCGCGAAGGGTAGTAAGGAAGACAGCATTTTCGGCTTTGCCATTGGACTGTGGGTATGTGGGAGAACTCGTCACATGTTCAAATGAGTATGCTTGCGCGAACTCTTGAAACTCGGCGGATATGAAGGGAGGACCGTTATCTGAGATCACTTGGTCGGGAATACCGTGTCTAGCGAAATTAGCTTTGACTTTGCCTATAACTTCCTTGGCAGTTTTGGATGACAGCTTATCAACTTCAAAACAGTTGGAGTATTAATCCACTGTTACAAGGAAATCTTTGTTGTCAAGTTGGAACAGGTCCATTGCTACCTTCTCCCATGGTCCATCCCTTCTCCCATAGAGGGGATCTGGTGACAGATCATAGGCTCTTTGACTTGTTGTGGATGGTAGTTGTTGCAGGTTTCACACCTGGCTATGTAGTCTGGCTATCTTCAACTCTTGTAAGGTAGGATCAGCTTCTGTTGCTTTTCTTATGTTGGACTGTGTGTCTTCTGAGACAGGCAAGTGCTGAGCCATGTTTATGACTTCAGTGTCTCTTTCGGTCTCACCTCTTAGCAATTTAGAAGATTTAAGCTCTCCTTCCGAGCGGACTTTATATGCTCGGCTTAGAGTATCGGCCAAAACCATATCTGTGGCCCTTCTTATATGTTACGTCTAGATCAAACTTCTGCAGTCGTAACAACATTCGCTGCAGTCTCTTTGGAGCGCTGATGAGACTTTTCTTGAAGATACTTTCTAACGGCTTGTGGTCGGTTTCGACTTTGACTTGTCGTCCATACACACACTGCTCAAACCTTTCAACGGCAAACACTAATGGCGAGCATTTCCTTCTCTATCTGAGCATAATGTGATTCGGTTTCTGTCATTGAGCGAAATGCGTATGCAACGGGCTGACCATCTTGCATCAGACATGCACCCAGACCAATTTTGTAGTTTTTGTGTGTGTTAGACTTCCACAAATTGCTTAACTTCCAAATAAGGCGCTGTCAATCAAACTAGTGTCAATTCAAATACCTCAGGAAATGCAAATTTCAATAACGCACGGCGAATTTGAGACACCTCGCTAGATTAGCCAGCACTCGAGCTCAAATTCGCCAAAAAAAGGTTTATAAGTGCATTTTTTAAGTCATTTGCGGCCATAAAAGCCCCTAGGACTGCATCATTAAGCTCGACTAGGCAGCAAAGACAGCCTTCTGGAAGAAATCAGAGGTGGAAAGCGATTTTTCGAAGAAGACGGCAACAAACCGAAGGTCTCTTTGAATTGTCGTTAGAGAAAGGTCGTTTCTCTAGTCATTCTGTGGCAGATTTCGGAACCTATCAAGGTAAATTTGGCATAAATTTTAACATCCAAAGAATGCAGTCGATGCAATATTTTGCCTGTAGGTGCGAGTGACTTGGCACTTATAAAAAAAATTACTAAAGTAAGATTACTGGCCATTCCTTGTCTCATAGATGTCAAYATTCCCAGGGTGCACTTGGGTCGTGCATTCGAGAAATGCTAGTTTGTCGAGGAGGACGTCAAAGGGGCGGCTCTTGTATTGCCTATAGAGAATTATTCCGAATAAAACTCCCTAAATGCAAGAATAGGAGGATGTAGCTCTTCAAAAATGTCGATATTGTGCTAGAAAAGCATGAATTTCACGTTRCAAATTAAKTMAAAAAAGTGAGCTTTTCGCTGTTGTCCCAGGAAGTGCAAAATTCGGAATTGAGCATCCACTCAAGACAAAAAACTTATTCGACCTAAAAACTTCATTTCCGAGACATGCTTTTAATTGGAATATTGAACTTGTTGTCTTGTTGTCTTGTAAGAGCAAGTTTTTCAGAGRMATMTAGCCATTTTGGKAAATTATAATTTTTGGAGTCATCACTCCTGTGGTACTGATGATACCGATGGCCGTAGGAAAAGTGTTAATCTTGGTTAGACATTTCTCGTGCTCTTCATCCCATCGGAAGTGAACGTGCTCCTTGAGAAGGTCTCTCAAAGGAGCTGTCAGCTGTGACAGGTTAGTAGCAAAACGCTGCAGATAGTTCAGCATACCAATGAGTCTTTTGACGTCTTGCTTGCAGGTTGGCGAAGGTATTTCGTTTATGCCTTGCACCTTGGCTGGATCAACCTTGAGACCTTGAGAAGAGATGATGTGGCCCATGAAATCCACTTCTTTACGCCGGAGCTTAAGCTTCTCTTTGTTGAGCTTCACTCCCTTTTCTCGGCATCGTTGTAGTAAAGCTGYGAGCTTTCTATCGTGGTCCTCAAKGGCTTCCTTCTCAGTGTCACCATTGCCGTACACGAGAGTGTCGTCAAAGATAGGCATGACACCATCAARACCTTGGAAGGCATTGTCAAGCCTCCTTTGGAACTCTTCAGGTGCAGGAGAGATACCGAAAGGCATCCGAGTCCAGCGGTACCTGCCCCAGGGGGTCCCRAAAGTTGTCAGCAGGCTGCTGTCTTCGTCTAGTTGGACGTGCCAATAACCGTTCTAATTATTCGGGAGGGGAAAAAAGCGAAGGAAATACATATAACAGAAATATATTGATTTATTGCATCTCCACTAAGGTTTTTAGTTTTCAAATTTTGAATACATGAAGCACCGAAGATGATAGCAGGAAGTGTTTTATGGCTGCTGTGGAAACTAGAGACGAGAAGACATTATTAGAACTTATTCAGACGTGGATCGAGCCTGAAACAATAATCATCAGTGATTGCTAAAGCTTCGCTTCTAAAGCTTCTAAAACTTAGATGCGTTCTGGGGTTGAATTCCTTCATTTTATTGATCAGCTTGCTTTCCTTCTTGTTCACAAAACCAGGTCACAATAGCTATGTGAAGGCGTCCTAGATACGTAGGTTTATCGCTAGCAGGCCACTAGGCCTATCGACGTACAAAACAATAATACATGTCAAAAATGAAAACAAAGCGCGGATTGGTTAAGTTTGAAATCCCCATGGAAACTGAGACTGCAGACCATCTGCAACGCAGGCGCTACCAATATGAAGCTTGAGAAACAATTAATTACAGTGAATTTCACAAAACTTTTAAACTTTGCCAGTTTGTTAATGTTTACAGCCCCAAAAGCCACGTAAATACAGCTCCCCCTGATTTTTTCACCGGTTGCTATGTGTAATAACTGTATTCTTTATTAGTTGATATACACTGACTTTATTCACTCAATGACAAATATTAATAGGTGTAATACTATATCTAGGTGTGACGTAATAAAGCTAGTCACGCTATATATAATAAGAATGCATTAGGGATCTGCTCTATAACATTCCTCCCCCTAAGTCATATACAAGTTCAAGTTTGATAGTCTTTTAAGTAGCTTGGTGATTTTTGGTCACGTGTTGGGCGCGGACTTTGTTGTGTCGGTTTTGGTGGTGAAATAGCAGGTGTGTCAATAGATGTTTCACTGGGTGGTTCATCCACAGGTTTTGGCACTTCCCTTTTGTGCATGTGGCCATCGTGTCGACATACTACTTGTCCGTCCCCCAGGAGTATTCGGTGGACATAGGGCCTGTTTTGTCTTATATAATGCCGGGTAACAATCCATTTTGCTTATGTAGGCCGCATACTGGTCAGAATTGCTGTCGTATGGCCAGCCTTCAAGTGTAAAGCTGACTATCTGAGACAGATATTTGGTCCAGTCCTTGATTTGTTGACTGTTCACTGATGTTCCCTCCAAATGTTCCATTAAATGAACAGTTTCGCCTGTCTGGGGAATGTGTGCTGGCGTTACTGGTAATGTGAGTCTGCTCAAAGCATCCACATTTTCATTGCATTTTACCGTACGAAATCATGCATTCATAGGCCGACAATGTAAAGCCCATCACTGAACTTCAGCTGAGGCTTGTTGCGGTACTCCTTTACTCTCGCCAAACAATCTCCCAGTGGCTTGTGATCTGTTTTTATGGTGAACTTATGTCCGTGAAGAAATTACTGAAATTTCTTTACTTTAAACAGGATTGCCAAGCCCTCATTTTCAATGGTAGTGTTATGTGTCTTGCAAGCAGACAGACGCCATATTCCAGCACATGGTTTTATTCATAAGAACACAGGAAACCCATAATTAAGTACATATCATATAACATCTTCCTTTTTTCCAAAGAAAATAAAACTAAATGTAGTTTACTTTAAATAACAATAAGAACAGTGTTAATAGCAAATATATTTATATTAAAGAATGTCTCTGATATAATAACAGTCACAAATTGAGTCTATTTGGTGCTTTCACCAATCGTCCAGCTCTTGTGCAAATTGTGGATGAATCTGTACTGGCTGTTGTAGACTCTGTAGCTGTAGAAGACTTGGGAGATTTGGTGTTGTCTGTAGTTGACTTGTCTGGTGTGTCTTGGTTGGGTGTTTCAGCTAATAATGTTTCTTGAGAAGGGGCAGGTGGCTGAGATGTGTGTTGTGAACTGATCATAGTGTCCTTCAAGTGAATTCTGTTCCTCTTGTACTTTTCTGCCTTCTACTTCAACAATGTAACTGCGGGGAGTTGCTGCTTCATGTTTCACTGTTCTCGCTTTCCACTCACTTCGAGGTTGCTGAGGTGTAACTTTCACCATGACAGGTTGTCCTACTATCAGCTTTGGTAGATCTTTTGCTCCTTTATCATAATGTAACTTTGCCTTTCATTATTTGAGGGACAACATTGGTTTGTACCTCTGGCTTGTACATGTTGGTTGCACAGGGTAGAAAGGTTCTGGTTCTGCGCGACATCAACCTCTGGGCTGGTGAGGTATTCATTCCTGGTGTAATTGCATTTCTCCATTCAAGTAAACCTTTCCATAGATCTTGTCCTGTTTTCTTTGCTCTTTTGATGATCTTTTTAGCAGTCTTTACAGCAGCTTCAGCCTTNTTGCATTAGAGTTTGTAGTGTTGTGTCGTTAGCTGTATCCTTCTTAATTGCGTCTAGTCTTGTATCTGTAACAAAGAGCGAGTCTTCTGCATTGTCATCTGCATACTCTGAGTACAGTGTCTGTTCTTCATTCAACTGAAAAATCTGATAGTGAGGTGTTTCTTTGTCAATGGACTTGTTTGGCAATGATGCTCTTGATAGTGTGTCACTGATAAACATCTGTGGTCCAGGCTTGTATTCTAAACCAAGTGAGTACTTCTGTAATGTAAGTCTCATTCTCTGTAATCTCTTTGGGCTTGTAAGAATTGGCTTCTTAAAGATTGTTACCAGTGGTTTGTGGTCAGTGTAGACTTTGACATTGTCTTTACCCAGTATGTAATGTTCAAATCTTCGTGTTGCAAAAACAATTGCAAGACACTCCTTTTCTATCTGGGCGTAATTACGTTCGGTCTGTGTCAGTGCTCTTGACGCATATTCAATGGGCTTTCCATCCTGAGTGATCACGGCTCCAAGTCCAACATCTGAACTGTCGCATTCTATTACTACATCTTTCTTGACATCGTAGTATTGCAGTATTGGTGTTTCAGTCATCATTGTCTTGATCTTTGTGAATGCTGCTTGGTGCTGTGGTAGCCAGTCGAAGGCTGCATGTTTGTCTGTAAGACGCCGTAATGGTTCCGCAACTGTACTGAGTTGTGGTAGGAACTTGGCTAGGTAGGTTACGACTCCGAGTAAACGTTGAACACCTTGTAGATTGCACGGTTGTGGCATGTCAATTACCGCTCGAATCTTCTCTGGGTCAGCTTTGATTCCTTCAGCAGTGAGAATGTGTCCTAGATAGCCTACTTTGTCAAGTTTGTATTTCAGTTTGTTCTTGTTTAACTTGAGTTGACATTCTCTGCATCTTTGTAGTAAAGCTTGTAATGCTGTATCATGCTCACTGTCATTGGCTCCATAGATGATGATGTCATCATACACAGCGTGTAAATTATGTAGACCTTCAATACGCTTGTCAATTCTTCGCTGAAATTCTTCTGGTGCTGACTTTAAACCAAATGGCATTCTTAACCTTCTGTATCTACCATAGGGTGTCCAGAAAGTGGTAAGATAGCTTGATGGGTCATCTAGAGTGACTCCATTTTTGGCATCTACTACAGTAAAAACCTTTGCGTTGTTTAGTTTTGGAGCTACTTCATCAATAGTAGGCATTCAATAATGGTTGCGTACTACCACCTTATTCAGCTCTTGAGGGTCTAAGTATACCCTTAGCTTCTTTGGTGTTTTAATTGCGACCATGTTACTGATCCAAGGGGTAGGTTCTGTCACTTTGGTCAGAACTTCCATTTGCTCTAGTTCGCCAATTTTCTGTTTAAATTCTTCCTCAAGGGGTAGTGCGACTCTTCTTGGATTGCCTTGCACTGGTTTGACATTTGGGTCTGTTTCGATGTGATAAACTCCTGGTAGCTTTCCTAGACCAGTAAATACATCTGCATATTCAGTAAGGACTTGCTCTTTAGTCAAGGATTCGTTAATCTGTAAAATGTCCTCGCTGAAGTTCAAAAGTTGTAGGGCTTGACAGGCTTTACCAGAGAGAAGGGAAATAGGTGCATCCTTGACGAGTTGAAATTGTACCTTTTTGGTAATACCCTTGACTGTACAGTATAGCTTTGTTTATCCTATTGGCTTTAATGTTGACTGATCATACATCTTGAGAGTAGTGTGTGAGGGCTCTAGTGTCTTTGTCGTTATCTTATTGTAATCTTTCAAGCTGATTGTACTGCATGAAGCTCCTGTATCCAGCTGAAATAAGATTTGTTGTGACTTATTCTTGCTGTTGTCAGCTTTCACTGTGACTTTGGCACAGAATTCCTTTTTTCCATTCTTGTTTTGTATACTGTATATGTTTTCATCACTGTCTAACTCTTCACTATCTTCAGTGGTAGTGGTACCAATGTCTTCCAGATGATGTATCTTCTTTGTATTTTTCCTCTTTGATTTATCCTTTGTTTCACCTTTTGCTTTTTGCTGCCCTGGTGATGAATCATTTGAATTTGCTGATAATAAGCACACTTTGGCAAGATGGTTTTTCTTTTTACATTTACTACAGGTTTCTCCATATGCACTGCATTTGCCTTTCTTGTGGTCACTTCTACAGTACTTGCAATTCTTGATATACTTTGTGTCGCTCTTTTTCTTTTGTACAAAGTTGACAGGTTGTGTCTGCTCCATTCTCTGTGAATGTTGTGTTGCTGTTTCGCTGCTTCGACAAATGTTTTTTGCTCTATCCAAGGTGAGATCATTTTCTCTTAGCAGCCTCTGTTGTGTTTCGCTGTTGTGAATTCCAATCACTATTCTATCTCTCAACATCTCGTTTTCTAGAGTGGCATATTTGCAGGTCGATATCTTTTCTCTCAGTCGACTCAGGTAGCGATCAAATCTCTCGTCAAATTTTTGTGTACATGTATTGAGCACATACCGTTCGTAAATTGTTTCTTTTACCTTCAAACTCCTCAGTTAGCTTCTCTAATATTGTATC